GTGTTTTATGAACTTCTAAGATTTTACTTCATCCTTCATCAAGACTAAGACCTGAACCTGTGGTTGTTCAGTCTTATTTGTTAAAGTTATGGTTTTCTTGGATCTTGTTTCACCTTAAACGGTTTTATTTACTGTTAAATGTTCATTCTGTCACATATTGTTTTAATCACTCTAAAATCTTGTTGCATTAAAGGTGGAAACCAGGTTGGTGTCTACACTATAGTGAAGACTGTGTTAATCATAATGCTCGTGAGCACACTGATGGTTTTTGTTTGGTGAGACAAATGTTTCTGTGACACACTTATGTGAAAAAAGAAACAAACTCATCTGTAGTAAAATAAAATATTTTTTTTTCCTTCAGCTGGTTCAGATCAAGACTCTCCAACAATCCAGAAACTGAAAGCTGTCAGATGAGCAGAGTCACATCACAACACATCAACTGAAGTTTCTTCAGGAGGACAAAATCCACCTGAAAATATCAGTAAATTCACTGCAGTGGTGTTCAACAGTTTTGCTTTTTGTGTAGAGATGGTGTTGCAGGAATGGAGACATTTTCTTTGTGGACAAGTTCATGCCGGTCCTCAACTGGACTGAAATTTTTTAATAGGACCTGCTTCACTCTAAGGTCAAGCATTTTATCCATGAACACTGATCTAACCCTACACTTATGTAAGACTGCTGCAGCATGATGCTTGGACAATCCTGGCAGTTTCCACTCTGTTACAGTTTCAGCTGTTTTCCTAACATTAGTGTTAGATTCAGAATCAGACTTTATTTGGCCAAGTTTGTGCACACAAACAAAAAACAAGGAGCAAGTTACACAAAGTATTAAGAAACTATACAAAGTATTGGTACCAAACTGAGTGATGTAATATGCATATGTGTTATGACCTGAATGATGTAAGAGTGGGTCATTTCACAGTGTTCATCAGAGTGACACCTGGGGGAGGAAACTGTCTCCGTGGGTTTTGTAAACAGTGGTTTGTAGCGCCTGCCTGAAGGCTGCAGTTTGAACAGTTATTTCTGGGATGTGAGGCCCTTGTGGATCTTTGCCAAAACAATTACAAATATTTGAATGCCCCGAGGTGCTCAGGCTGAGGTGGGGGAATATCAGTGATTTACAAGTGCAAATTAAGTTGTCATCCATTTACTCTGAGCTCATATCATCCCTTCAAATCTAAGTATGAAAATCTATTTTGTTGTATTATTATCCACCAACCTCCTAAGTCCTGCGATGACTTCTTGAATTAATTCTCTCATCTATTTTCATATATTGCCAAATCTGACCAATTCCCTTTGGTCAGTAATTTTGATTTAAACACTGATGATAGTGCAGCATGGTAATGGTCCCACACATAAAAGCGAGCACCCCTGGATCATGTTTTTACTCTCATCTTATCCATAACCTCCCTGCATATGTTGTCACGGTCCTGGGCCATTGACCCAGTGTTTATTGTTGTCTGTGCCTCCCTTATGTTTGGTCTCTGTGTGTCTTAGTTGCTCTGTCTCCCCTGTCAGCTGTATCCCCTAGTCAAGTCCGCGTCTCAGTGTTACGTTTCCTGTTTTACTTTGAAAGTCTGTGTCCTTGGTGAATGTATTGAGTTTTGCTTCCCTTTGGTCTTGTCATGTCAAGCCCTGTGTTTTTCTGCCTCATGCTGTGTGTTTCCTTGTGTGCCTCTTGGTGAAGTTTAGGTTTTATTCTCCAGTTTACTTTAGTCCTGTATGATTTCTGTGTGTCAGCAATAAAGCTGCATTTTGAGTTATTCCCATGTGTTGAGATTTCTGCATTTTGGGTCCTCATCCTGTCTGCACACAGCCGAATCATGACATATGTCTGATCTACTGGCCACACATCTGTATTTTTTGACAGAGTTTTTCACTTACTGTTGTTCCCAGGAACAAACTGTTCAGTCTTGTATCTTTAAGGAGAATTCAAGAGCTGTATCAACACATCATTTTTTAGATGTCAGTGATTCACTTCATGGGTCTAATAGTCTATGTTAATCATCTATATTAAGTTTTAATATAGATGAGTAATGAAATTTGTAGGATTCTTCTCTGTCTCAAGCTGACTTTACAGAATGAAATTCTCTAAATGATCTTATTGTGTCTCCATGTAATCTTTAAAGCAATTGTTGCCGAGTTTTCTGTTGTATAAATGTTCTAAATGTACTCTGTGATCATGGCAGGTAGATGCCTTCTCTCTGTAAATATTCTAGACTTACAATCCCTCTGTGTCAGAGGGCATGCAGACTGTGGTCATGCTGTCTGTACTGTTGTTGATTTCTTTGCAAAGGTAAATAAACTGGTAAAGAGTTTCAGAGTTGATTACTAATCAGTTTTTTTTTAGTATTAATTAGTACTTGAATATTAATTTTTACGATGACCCTAACAGCTTGTAATAGATAACTCCTGAACAGTGGCGGTCCTAGCCTGTTTGGTGCCCTGGACACACATAAAATATATTAAGGATTGTACATTAATATAAAACTGTTGTCGGAACCATACTGAATTTCACCAGAGAAACACACACACACATATATGAAGAGAGAGAGAGAGAGAGAGTATGCATAGTATGCAAACAGCTACTAAACAGCCATCATAATTTGTCATACAATGAGAACAGGACAGATCATCAATTGATAATGACTAATTAATATTGTGCTGAACACAGTCCAAAAGATTCAGTAAGCGACATCAGTGTCTACTGTTTACTATCATAGCCAAGTGACACTTCACTATCCCTACTAGTCGATGTTATGATGTTATTATCTCTGTTGTGGTCAGTGCGATCCTCTATGCTGTTGCATGCTGGGGCAGCAGGTTGAGGGTCACAGATGACAACAGACTAAATAAACTGATCCACAAGGCCAGTAATGTTGTGGGGATGGAGCTGGACTCCGTTAGGGTGGTGTCTGAGAGGCAGATGTTGTCCAAGATAAAGACAATGTTGGATAACACCTCCCACCCACTCCATGACATGCTGGCTAGTCACAGGAACACGTTCAGTGAGAGACTGAGATTACCGAAAAGCACCACTGGCCGACACAGGAAATCATTCCTGCTCGTGACCATCTCCCTGCACACCTCCTCCATCTAACACACTGTAAACACTGCTATAGTTACAGCCATTTTACACACGCTCTTCTCTACTCTGGAATATTCTTGTCAACTTTCTTGATATTTATTTATAATCCCCTCTGTTTATCATTGATATTTTTAATTTAGTGGTCTGTGTGTATTAGTGCTATTTCTTAAATGTGCAAAATCTGTAACATAATGTATTGTTTGGAGTTTAGTCTGTTACTGTTACTATTTTTACCATTTCTTCTTGGAGCAACTGTAACCCACATAATTTCCTTAGGGATTAATAAAGTATTCTGATTCTGATTGTTTCAGGATGACCTGCCATTATCCAATGACACATCTGCTTACCTGCATCTTTTGCTCGTTTCTCTCCTCTTCTTTTCTCTTTTTTCTAAACTGAGGACCTGATGGCTTTGAACTTTTCTTGTCCATCTTCCATTGGTTTTAATTTTGCACTCCAGTATGAACACCCATCCCCCAACTCAGGATCACCACAACATAACCTAATAGACCTACACCTTAGTTCACAGATTTGCTTTGTCTAAGGTTTATTTCTGGGATTTCAAATCAAGAATACATAATGGGCTTGGATTTACAACATTATGAATGAAATTTGCTCTATTTGCAAGCAGCAGGTCTCTCCTCCACTGTCGACAGGTTGTGTGTGACTTTAAATCATCAAACTGTAAATTATAAATTTTAAATTGTTATTGATCCCTTCACTCCGAGTCCTAAAGTGTATATTTATTTTCTTACTCTTCTTATATTTGTTATTCGTTTACTTGCACTGCTGTAACTGGAGCCTCGTCGTCTCGTCTCTCTACATACTGGACTGTTGTCAGGGGTGAAATCTCTAACAACTGTATAGCGGAGATGACAATGAAGTTTACTTTGACTTCAGCACAGCAGCAAGCAGGCGCACTTTTCGCATACAGAATTTCGAAAAAACATCGGTGCAAATTATAAGTCTGTATAATGATGTCTGGTGTTTTCGTGTTTGTTGGTTTGTTTTTATTTTGTTTTATTTTGCGAGTTGGTTATTAGATGCTGCTCCAGCCAGCCAGAGAATCCCCCGCCGCCCCGCCCTCTCCTCTGTGCCGCAAGCAGCAGGCGCACCTCGCAAACGGAGGGCGCCCTTACTCCCAGCAAATGGGCGATAGAAAACCGTCGTCTATGCCATTCCCAATATGCGCTGGCTGATGTCGGGGCAGCATGAGTACGAGCAATTTTTTTTTTTTTTTTGCCAATGCCCCTGATGCCGCCCCCACCACGATGCCGCCCCGGGCAACTGCTCGTGTCGCCCGTATCAAAAACCGCTACTGCTCCTGATGATAAGTGACGTTCATATTGGGATTTTTAGTTTGCAGGCTCTGAAGGAGTGACGTTAAAAAAATCTTTTAGGTTGTGAATGTGAGTTCAGAGTGGACGTTAAAAATAGATTGACATGTCATATCCCCTGTTTCAGCTTTTAAGCAGGAAGGACACAGTTGATTGTATCGTGTGGTTTAGTCAGTGGGTATGTTAGTGCTTGCTTCTTTCTCAAATGATGACCACTAGTTTACAGGGTTTATTGTAATTTTGCTTCATTTCACTCTAAAACTGTGAGACTAAACGGGGACTTGTTTGGTAAGGAAACATTTTATGCTTTTATTTAACGAAACTGAAGTTTTTATTTTGTGATTGTTCTTTTAGTGCACTGACAGACACATTTATGTCATTTTATTTCCTGGTGATTTAGTTTCACTCATTTCATATGTCAGATGTTGTTAATAATGGTTCCTTATGATGACAGCTCGTATTGCACAGAGGAAGTTTGGATTAAGAATTTGTTTTAAAGAAATATGAATAATCTCTTCAAAATCCATAATTCAAGTGATTAAATGTCTGATTTGTGTTTTTAATTCAGGGTTTCAACAACAGCATCAACAAGTTCCTGTGTGTGAACATGGTGACAGTCAACATGTTGCTGATTGTCCTCTTTGTTCCAGGTGAGCTGTTAGTTCAGTCATTCACAGACACGGAGTCATTTTACAATCTGAACTTTATTGACAAACAAAATCTGAAAGGCCAGTGAAGATAGAGTCAACAATTTATTAATTATGACACTGTATTTACAGGTGTTTTGGCTGATTGTGCTGATCAACCAGCACTCTTCATAAATGCACCAAAGAAACTGGAAGCACTGAGTGGATCTTGTTTGCAAATCCCATGTAGCTTCAGACCCAAAGACGAACAGAAATTTATCAGCACAAGTGAAACTTTTGGAGTGTGGATTAAAAACAATTCTGATATTAACAAAAACAAAAACAATGTGATCTTCAACAGTAGTGGAGCAGTTAGCACCTATCCAATGAGTATTACTGGGAACCTGAGTCAGAGAGACTGCACCACTCTGTTTTCTACTTTAACCACCACATACACAGACACATACTTCTTCAGAGTAGACAGTGAACCATTCAAGGCGACAGCTCAGTGTGATCCTCTTCAAATAACAGTCAGAGGTGAGTGATTTTTAAAATAAATGAATGTTTAATAACAAAATGACAATAAAACACATTCAAATAGATTTCTGTATTCTAAAATATAATTTTTTCAGCCTAAAAGTTTCAATACAGTCACAGTGATTTTCCTGATTTACATTTTATTTCTTAACTGTACAGGATTCTTTCTGAAGCAGTCAATATATATATCAATATACTGTTTTTATTGTGTCATAACATTTTGAAAACAGTTTCAGAGTGTGACAGGTCTGTACAGAACACAGTATCGTTTAAAGCCAGTTCTAATCTCCGTCTCACTTCATGTAAAATAATTTCAACTAGACGAAGCAAGAATGGACTTTTAACTTCCATTTCTGCATCCAGCTCTACTGATGGCTTTCAGAAGTGTTCCTGAGCTCACGCACTGATTCTTTTGACAGAACTGTGTGTGTTCAGTGCAGTTTGACCTGAGGCCATGAAGATCACAGTCATTCAGTAATGATTTTGGGATTTTTACAACTTCTGCCAATTTGGTTTAAACTGTCCATTCCCTTAACATATTTACTACTGACAGGCTTCACTCCTTTTATGTCCATGCATGTTAACCCTATAATGCCCTTTGTATCATAACCTCTATCTCATCAACATGATCAATATTTGCCATAATTTCAAAATGTTATGGACAAAACTGTTTTTTAAAAAAAATGAACATTGTTTTTAACAAACAGTTGCCACGTATCTTATGCAATACAAAAAAATATAATAAATATTTAATAAAAAATATATCATGATATAGCAAACAAAATGTGGATTTTGTTATAAGGGTTTATAAACATCTCATTTCTAAAAAATCTGAATTTTCTGGCTATTTTTTGATGGGTTGGTCTTACAGGGTTAATAATAACAATTATTTGTAAGATATGAAAAGATGACAAAACAAATATCTTAATGAGATAAAAAGTAATCTGAAATCAAAATAAATTGAATAAAGTAAAATAGAAATGATAATACACATCATAAAAATATTTGAAAATCAAAACAAAAACCATGCACCAGCAAACATGTGACAGTGGAGTGGTTCATAATCACCGTGTAAAGTGTAGTGTGCAGTGCAATGCAGTACACTGGATTAGAGTGTGTTAAGTGTAGAGTTTAAATAAATTGATAACAGAACAAATGATTCTACATTAGAAAGATATAGTGTATTATATACTGTATTTATTTGTATGTATTTGCAACATCTTCGAAACCACAGATTCTCCTTGGAGGCCCAATATTACAATCCCAGGTGATCTGAAGGAGAAGGAGTCTGTCACTATAACCTGCTCAGCTCTCACTCCCTGTCCACACTCCCCTCCTCAACTCACCTGGAATCTCCAACAAGACTCTCACAACAAAATAGAGGAAAACACAGATGGAAGCTTTACAACTAAAATCCAGCAGAACATCACTCTGTCAGACACACATGATGGAAAGAAGATCAGCTGCTCTGCCAGATATCCTGTGAACCAAGGAAACGACACCAAGACAGCAGAGACAGAAGAGACTCTCAGTGTTTCATGTAAGACAATCAGAGTTTGTTGTTGAACTGGATCCTATAGGACAACATGATTTGTGTGATATGTCTTTGTTTGTTTGTTTCTCCAGATGCTCCTAAAGACACCTCAGCATCCATCAGTCCATCAGGTTTGGTGTCAGCAGGCAGCTGGGTGAAGCTGACCTGCTCCAGCAGAGCCAAACCTCCAGTCAGCAACTTCACCTGGTTCAAGAAGAGCAGAGATGGAGCTGTGAAAGTATCTGAAGGAGAGATTTACAGCTTCAATGTAACAGATGGAGGAGTTTATTACTGTGTGGCCACTAATGATCTGGGTAATCAGACATCAGCAGAGCTTCATCCAACAGGTAAATGCAGACAGCAGCACAAGAATCAATCATTTATTAATATTAATAAACTGTATGCACAATTGTGATTAACAGGTTTGAATTTATTGCAGAAAGTTTGGTGAGAATAATGGGAACACATCCATATTTACAGAAATGAAAGCACTGTCAACAGGATCCAAGAGCTTTAAGTCATCCTCAGAAAATTCAAGCCCAAATAGAAGAAACAGAAGTGCCCATAATACATTAGTATCAACTGCTTGCTTGTCTTCTTCTGGTCAGATTCATTGCCCTAATGCACAGAATGCTTTATTGTCTATTGAACTGAATGAAGTGACTTGATATCAATTAGGCCACGCAGAGGATGAAGTAAGGAGAACTGCTTTGCTGACTCATTCTTAAATAGACCAGCAAACAATCCAGCTTCCATTCATTTTCCATTGAGCATTTATTCCATATTTCAGTCATCCATCCACTTTGCAGTCAAGCGCAAGCACATGCAAGCTACTTGAGGGCAATCTAAAGAAGGCAAGGCATTTGACATGCACAAACGAACACAGTCAGCAAAAGAAATACAGTCTATTAAATCTATCATTCATTAAAACCTCCCACATGAACCCAAATCCCTGGAATAGACATACAACACCATGCAGACACAACCTTATCACCACAAAGTTTGTGGCCCCAACATTGAATATGATGCTGTTTTAAATAAGACATGAAATTATTGATTGAGATCATTAAGTTAATAGGAAAGCTTTCTTTCTCTTAACATTTGATTGAATGTAAATAGATTAAACCATTCACAGCAACTTGAACATTTAAGTTACCTTCAGATAAGCCTGAACACTCAGTGACAAACATGATATTTATCAAAGTGCATTTGTCACTAACCTTTTTATATCTGCAGGAACACATCAGCCTTTATCATGGTCTGCTGTAGGAGGGATCACTGGGATCATCGTACTCATCTGTATGGTTTTTGTGTTTTGGTAAGACTCTAAGATCAACGTCCAGTCCAGATTTATTCCATCCGTGGAATATCGAATTTTGTCTCACTTTTCTTTATCTTCTGATATTGCTTGAAACTGTCAATGGTTTCATTTTGACTGAACTTTTAACTAAAACCAGTGGAAGTGTTGAGGTATATCTTTAAGTTTATAGCTTCAGTATTTCAGTTTTTGTATCACTGGGAAAACAAAGCTACAGATGTGAAGTTTCTTCAGATTGTATCATAAGATGCTGAAATATTCCACAAAATAGAAATATTTTTTCATGCAAATGATGATAGGATGCATTTTATCGTTCCTGTGTGTCTGAAGTTCCCTTTGTGAGTTTCTAAGTTATGTAATTAATTAATTGCACAAGATTCATAAACATATTTTGAAGAGTGTAAACACGTAACCATTTATTTTGCAATGAATGTGTTGCTGTGATGGATTCTGGACTGACCTGTTCAATTAAACTGGTAGGAAATGTTTCAGGTAGATTGCTGAAGACATCATTATTATTATTATTATTATTATTATTATTATTATTATTATTATTTCTGATGATTACATCTCTGTAACTTCTAGGCGACTAAAATCAACACGTCAAGCTTCACATCAGGCACAGGTAGGAAACTGACTCTGATGATTGTAGTTTTTACATGTGCACTCATAAAATGAAGGCTTAGCGTGACTGTGCTCAAAAACAGATTTTAGATGTTAGTATCACCTTATTGTATCCTCAAGCTCTTCATAGCATTTCAAGTTTGGTGCGTTTTATTTCACAGAGTTTGTGTCAAGAAAATGAGGACGGCCATTATGAAGAGATTTTCTTCTCCAACCAGAGACCTTCTTTAGACTGAATGTAGACAGCAAGTAGGCAACAGTGTAACACAGACAGGTAATCGGGGTGCTTCAGTACCTATGTAATTAGCAGGCTGCACATCTGGAAAGGCACCATCACTGCTGATGCATATTACAGCAAGATGAATCACATAATGTATTTATTACACCTGACTGAACTCATAGTAGAAGAATCTGGGTGATGCACTGGTCTGCCTGCAGTCCAGACCTTTAACCACCTGGAAACATTTGGCACATTTTGGAACCAAAAATATGACAAACTGAACACTGTTGAACCCTATGACACAAGAAAGGGACAACATTCTTTTCCAAAAAGTTTCACAAATGCTCTCCTCTGTTCCCCGAGTTTTACTGACTGCTGTTAAAAGAACAGGAAATGCTGAATGTGTCTGTTTTTTGGGGGGAACAATCAAACTCAGTATGACCTTTTTTTCTGTCTCTGTAAATAGTATATTTCCTCTCTTTAACCATTTGATATGTGTTCTATGTTCTGCTGTGAATAAAATATAAACTTATGAGATTTTGTTATGCCCCAGTCTAGGGGTACAGGAACGTAACATAAGAGTTAAAAAAAAGAAGTGACCCCGCCCTGGGCCCCAAAGCCATACAGAGAAAAAACACTTTCTTAGTGAACAGTGGTTTATTGTGCCTAAACTGAAGCGTGACTTCCGGGGTGAACAAAGGGCAAAATAACAAACAAAACCAGCTTAATCAGTCAAGGAGGTGCTACCTGAACCCTACGTGATGAAAAGAACAAACAAAAGACAAATGCTACGCCTAACTCCCTAAATGAATAAACAGAAGGAAATAATACAGAAAACAACAAGGCAGCTCACCACTTCGGCTTCAGTGACTATTTACAAGTGAAGGCTAATTTACACACTATATTCAAAGCTCTGTAAGTCACGAGAATCACAAATATCACAGAGTTTGGAGGCCAGGGTCAGGTCTGCTGCTGCTGTTAGTGGCTGCCCCTGGACAACTGCTAGTGAGGGATTTTGAAAGCAACCACATGATCAGGGGACCAATCGGCAGCCGTCAGCTTATCCAATCAGGGACCTGCAGAGACTTAAAGACACAGACAGAACAAGAAACGGCTACCAAGACACATTATGGCCAGGGCCGTAACAGATTTGCAAATCATTTAATTCTGTTTTCAATTTACATCTTACAGCATCCCCAGAGTTTTTTTTTAGAACTGGGTTTGTAGAAAATTGCTACATTGTATAAATTGCACCCATGAATTTAGATTATTATATATTGTTTCAAAAAGATCCTGACTTCAGTACCATATTTGTTATAGTTTACTTTTATTTATTATTGCATATCTGTAGATGTTGTCAATAAGACACTGACAAATCCTAGCAAACTGTAGCTGAAGCAAAGGTAGTTTTAGGAACTGAAATGCTCACTTTTATATGAAAACATGATTTACATGAAAAACACTTACCGTATAAAAGAAAAAAAAATGGAACATAGACTGACATGTAACATATAACAACTTATGTAATGTAGAGTTAAATATACGAGTGGCAGAAGGTGCACTCTGATGCAGAATGTCAATCTGGACCTTGTTTAGACTGAGTGCAGGACAGCACGCAGCAGCAGGATGTATGTGATGTTTTAACAGTTCAAAATGTGCAAGGCTAAAAAAAGCCAGTGCAGAAGAAATGAGTGTAGACATGTATTGCACAAATGTTGTACAGAGAAATGTTGTGTTGTAGTTCATTTCAGGTAACCTGATAAGAATCAGGATGTTTGTGTCCGATCCATATATAGTTAGATAATGGCAGTGAACTAAAAAAACAAAACAAAAAACCCCTCTTTTAAATGAGGCATTAAAGTGATGTCACACTAGCAGTTTACTTCCTGTGAAATATTTTTGTTGTGTGCTTCCTATCTGTGTGTATTTTTCTTATGGAACATATTACATGTTTTAAATTCTGCTAAAATGAAGATGAAGCACACTTGTTATTTTTAATAACAAGCTTTGCACGTAATTGAAACATAAATTCTCTTTTTGTATTTATTGACCTAAAATGTTGTGTGTTGGGCTGAGAGGCAACAGTAGTGACAACTTCACAATACTTGTGCATCCAAAGCTTACAGATACAATGTGATACTCGTACTGAGTGTTGTGTATTCTTTAAAATGTTATGCACATTTCGAATAGCCAACGTTAATAAAAAAGTGCTTGGGCTTGAGTAATTGCAGACTTAAGACCTTTCTGACTTCCTCTATCACAGGACAGTATTATTCTTGCATTTTTTTTAATTAGCCCATAATTTCATGTCTATAGCATCTTTGCAACTAAAACTAATTGACCTAAAGCACCTGTACTACATATTCTCCCTGCATCTTGTGGTGGTGTAGCTTGTAAATATTGACTGCTGATACATGATATTCATACTTGAAGTTAGTAATTATATTCTGTAACCTTAGGCTTTCAGGTTTTGAAGGAGTGAAGTTAGAAAACTTATTCTCAGAGTGACCGAGTCATTTTAGACTTTCAAGAAACAGTATTGACTGACTTCCTCTTTTACAGGATATAAGCAGAAAGAACAAAACTGACTTCATTATGCAGTGTGATAGTCAGTGGGTATCTATATTCCTCTCTTGTTGACATGACAAAACTAGTTAGCAAAGTTTGTTGTAACTGTTCTATTCTTACTGTTTCAAGCACAGCTAAGGAGACAGATAGCCTTTTGACAAGTGTCAGTTGTGTTGTCTGCTATTACGACGTTCCCTTCAAACTGGAAACAGAGTAAAGCTGAAAGAAATCAACAAACATGTCCTTTTCAGATACTCATTAACATATTTTGCCATCTAAACAATGGTAACACAATATAAACACAAAGAATGTAAAAGAAGTTTACAAATTTTAACTGTTTTTTAAAATAAACTTTTTTAAGTTGCTTGAAGACGTTTCACCTCTCATCCGAGAAGCTTCTTCAGTTCTAAGGTCAAATGGTGGAGAGTCCCAGATATAAACCTAGTGGGAGTTTCCCCCCACAGAGGGACAAAAGGACCCCCTGATGATCCTCTAATCGCCTGAGCCAAGGTGTGAAACTGGGTGTGGGTCCCAATCAGCCAGAGTTTCGGGTGTGTTCATTGTGAAACCTGGCCCCACCTTATCATGCGAATTCCTGAGGTCAGATGGCCCAGGATGTGAGTGGGCGTTAAGGCGTCTGGGAAGGGATCTCAAAACTGGATTATAGATGGCAGAGAGTTGGTGTCGTAAACCCCGCCTCTTTGCAAGCTCCTTTGACTACGATAACCTGGATGACTGAGAACCTTCACAGACATTCTGGACATTAGTTTTGTAAATAAACTTGTGAACTCTTTCTCCAAAGAGCTCGAGTCTGTGCCGGAATCCATTCACACAATTCACAAATGTAGCTACATAAAGTAAAAAACAAAAACAAAACATAACATACTTACAGCCATGAAATAACACATAAGGATAGAGTTGGGTTCAAAGAGACTGTTCAATCAAGACGGCACATGTGAGAATTACTTTCTGATCCTGGCTCTGCCAAGTCCTGATTGGTTACTGCAACTATGACCTGAAAAAAACAATAGCACCACCTGCTGGTGAGTTTAATCTCTGGCAGCACACAGCTGGTTAGGTAATATTAAGAAATATTTTATTTCTTAGCTTTGCTGTATGTTCAGTTCTACAAAGATAGAATCTTAACTTAATTTAGAAAGGAAACCAAAAACCCGAGGACAGAGCCAGCTCTTCATGCAGTTTTTTTGTATACCTGATATCCCTATGTTGGTTTTGTCCCTGCATTATAATGCGATTGGTCACTGGAATATTGATTTAACTGATTAGTTCTAGAAAGTGAGTTAAGAAACATGAATTGTGGCAAAGCATTAAAGTTTTGGTTAGTCTTCAGTAAAAGCATGTTATTTTTATAGTATCATAATGAAGTGGATAAAGGTATTCCTCCAAATCTTCATTATACTTTAAATTTGGTCTGTTTGATTTAATAGAATCTTCAATATTTTAGGATTTGGGGGTAAATTTATAGTTTATCATTAACAGTGGAAAGTAACTATATTATTTGGATTGTTGAAGTGATTGTTAGGAAAAACTTCTTCTTTTGCCTGTTACACTGATATACCAAATTTGACTGCATAAATACATCATGGCGCATGTGTGGTCATTCACTCAGTTGAGAATTGATGATCGTAAACTGAGTTATATGTGAAGCTGTTTCAACTCACACAAACTGACACATTTATTCTTAATGACAAAAAATATCCCGTTGAAAATCACTGAAAATGCCATTTTTGATCACACATTTATCTTAATCTCATCTAATATATTCCTTTATATTAAAATTTTATTTTGGTATACTTGCTCTTAATTTTTATATTCGTCCACGAGGAGGAGCGTTTACCATTCAAGCATGCAAATGTTGACATTTTTTACTGTGATGTTGAATAATGGTGTGTGTGTGTGTGTGTGTGCTCATCCTACTTCTCCCTCCTACAATAGACTGGGGAGCACTGGCTTGACCTGAGATACATGTAGGATGAATTCACATGGACATAGGGAACTTTAATCTGACTGCTTATTACGGCCCCAATTTCATAGGGACCAATGTAGCGTGCGGATAGCCTGTGGAAGAGAGATTTTAGGGGAATGTCCTTGCCAGATAGCCATTCGTGTTGTCCTGCAGTGTACCTGGGAGCTAATGTATGTAATCAGTCTGCATAAAAACACTAACGGTCAACTGCTTTTGGCAGTGCCTCCCAAGTCATTCAAAAGGAGAGAGAGACCAATGGAGGACAGGTAAGGCAGTGACGAAATCAAAGGCAATATGCAACCACGGCTTGAACCCCAAGCAATCACACCAAAATGTCATTTGTGCTAGAGAAGTGTAGTTGGATGATAACAAAGAGAAAGTAGTCAAAACTGAGGGGATTGCACTACTAGAAGGCAAAATTGCACACAAATGAATCCAGGCGATCGATACCTACAACCTATCACTCATCAAAAACCAGGTGGCCAAACGAGGAGACATAAGCCACTGGTATCAAGACAAGAAAGCTCCTTATAATGCATGCAGGGTTTCACCAAGTCCAGCACCCTGAGACTGTACACTAAGTGGAATGAAGGGGTCTGAGGACTGGTGAGTGTCAGAACCACCATCCAGGATGAAAATACAAACATCCA